GTTGATGAAATGTGTGGCTGAAAAGTTGATGAAAGTTGTGGGTCCCATTAAATATGTGGTTAAAATTGAGGTTTGGTCATTTAAGAATTGATAAAATTGTAGCAAATTTTCATCCAACAAGCATTTAATGTCGAACTAGTTATCCATAGATTAGACAAAAACTGTGTAAGCTGTAAGCGAAACATGCAGCAATGAAAGTGATCTGACAGCATCCAACACAAAACATTCAATTTGGTAATATACATTTGGATTTTAAGTAAATTGCTTATCAAAAATACTTCATTCTACATTACATTCAATTCTATCTTCAAGTCTAATTCCTCTTTCACCGACCATTCATGTGTTTAGTGCCTTATCTCCAGAACTGAATCTATTTTATGTGAAATTCTTTCCTTCACAACTGATAATCCTGTGATATACTATTTTGCAATAAGGTACATCCAGGCAAAGCCTTGAGATATGTTTAACAAATATATAACATGTTCCAATTGGGAAAATGCTTCCCTGGCATGATTCAGGGCATATCACATTATCCAGATGCTCTAACAAGACATTTGGTATGGTCCGAATGGACAAGCATTACAGCATAGTCGCAATACAAAGTAAAAGTTAAAACAATGAAATTAGTTATTTCGTAACTGAGTGGATATTACATGATTACATCCATCAAAAGCATATCAGGTTACTTTTCTCATGATATTTCTTACGTGCATGCAGCCATCACATAAATATGACAGGAAGACCAGTGGAGAAATCTATTCTGCTTGTCTATTCGAATATCTAGTCAAGCATAAAATTATTGTATTCTCTTCTTTCTGTTTACCCAGTAAAATTTAAATGCCAATCTCAGTGAGAGGATAGACATACAAGGACACGTGAAGTAGAAAACTTAAAAACCATATACACATGTAAATAAACATAAGTACATAAATAAGCATGCATAAATCAACCATGTATATAAACAAACAAATATATCCCATTGATGAGTGGGTGTGTGCGCGTTTGCATGGAAACAGATAAACGACACTCTTCCCATTTACGATTATGGTAAACATGTAGGACATTTTGCCCATGTTTGGTGTAGCTAAAAATAAGATTTTTAATAGATTTTGATACAAACTGATGAAATGTATGGTTAAAATTAATTGTTGATTTTAAATTAGATTTTTATCAACTGTTTAATTTACACCAAACAGGGGCTTAGGGTCACAGATTAATAGGTATTCCTTTTACAAATTTATGTGATAACTAAATGTGATCCATCGTTGTAACAATCGTTGAAATAGTAACATGACATATCTATGAACTAAGCACAATTTATACACACAGATGAGATATTCTTTTCATCATTCAATGTCTAAATCGTGCTTCAGAAAATAATCTTCACAAATCAGAATCACATTTGCATCATGAAGCAAATTAATAGCAAGTGAGTTCAGTCGTGATAGTAAAACAAATCTAAAACTATAAGAATTGTTCAAAAAGAAACTCAACATTTACATGGTTATAGGGGTGCTGAACACACCATAAATGTTAAGAGAATGATATATGTTCAGATGAATGTCTGGACAGTGATCCTTGAAGTGTCCGAGAATGCAAAAGCATGGTCAAAACTAAGGAGGTCAGTAGACAATATGGTCAACTTAGAACTCATATCCCACTTAGTTCGGACATCAACATCAGCAAATTACAGCTAGCATATATACCAGGTTTTTCAGCTGAGATTACCTGTCAGCTACCTTTCCAATTTCACCACCAAGCGCATCCACTTCATGTACGAGTTGAGACTTTGCAGGCCCACCCACTGCCGGATTGCAAGGCTGCATTTAACTCCACTTAGCAGAATCTCTATGCAAAATTTCAAGAATATTTAAAAGTAATCTAACATGACAAGGAACTCAGTAACTGATTTTGATGCAATCCATTTGAAAAAGAAGAAAAGAAATTTTAGAAGTTCTGTTGGTTCTTGCTCGGTCCTTTGGACCCTTGGATGATTCAGACTTCAGAGCCTGATTATTCTATCCAATCAAAGTAACTAACACTAAATTGAAGTAACAATATAACAACTTCAACTCTCTTTTTATCTTATATCTAGATTTCACTCTGAGATCATTTAATTGTTGTATTATATTTCCTTTTTTATTCCACAAAACTAAAGCACTAGAACCCTGGTCCTTTACTTTAATCAACAAGGCTGCTTTCCCTGCTAACCATTCTCGGAGATTGCACTGCCAGGTGAGATACGATCCCATTTCGTCAAGGAAAGAAGTCCAACAGCAGCTGATCATAGCTTTGAGTGGTTTTAAGCAGCAGTGTCTAGAAACTAAGCTTTGAAGCTTTGGACTGGAAGGAATTTAGGAAAGGTCTTACACACATGTATGAAATAAATCGTGTGAATATCAACAAATTCTTGGCACACCAGTCTTCAATTTTGGACTATATCTCCGGGATTGCTGCCTAACCCACCAGCCAAAGCCACAATGATTTTCGATCCAGGCACCAAAGATGGTGGGTACCTTCCCCATCTCTCTTCACCACCACCACCCTCCCCACTATATGCACCTTTGAGTTCTTCACCACTGGTATTCTTTACAAACTAAAATAAGGAGAAACTCACAAAGCATGACACATGGTTCACTTGCAGTAAAAAGTTAGTTTCTCCATCTCAACCATGAGTGATGAGAGTTTAACTTCATCGTGTGTAGTAACACGGGCTTCGTACCCAAGTCGTTATATCATACGTACTGTCTACTTTGGGAGAGCACCTGACCTTCTTACCCCTCACGAATTTCTATTGTGTCCCCCGGACAAGACCTTCACTTTATGAGAGACTTAAGTTAAATTCTCGTATCAAATTTTATGAGACTTCGTTGAAAAAAGAGGGTAAGAAGGTCGGATGTCTTCCCAAGGCGAATAGTACATATGATATAACAGCTAAGACACGAGGAAAGAGTCATTCAAAAAAAGCGTCAATTGATATCAAGACTCAACTTATATCTCTCATGAAGTAGAGGTCATAGGTTTAGATCATGAAGACGCGATCAAAATTTGTGAGGATTAAGATGGTTAAGACTCTCCCAAAGTGGAGAGTATGTATGATATAAAGTCTTGGCTATGAGACTCAAATCGTCACAAAAAATGCGCTTTTATTGTTTTGTAACGACCTAAGCCTCGTACCCTAACCGTTGGCCAACCCTCGAGTCGTTACAAAAAATGAGCTTTTTTTGTTTTGTAACGACCCGAGCCTTGTACCCATAATGACTTAACACGAGGTCCAGATGAGACTGAATGAAGGTCCTATTATTGAAAACTACATTCATGGAGATAAAGAACCAAAAGTTGAAATTTAAATAGATATGTCAAATAGTAAGGTAAGGAACTTCTTAAAGCTCTGACTTATGATTGGTGGAATAGCCTTCTTTTCCAGAAGTGTTGGTTCGAATCCAACTCGGCAGATTATACACTTTACCGAAGTGGTAAATCAAAAATGAGATAAGAGATGTTAGCATTAACTCCCATTTTTTCAAGTAGATAAAGGTAGAAAGAGGGAACGGATTTCGATTAGAACCTTACGATTTCTAGGATTTGATTGGAGCCAAGGAGCTGTGAATCATAAGTCAACCAAGAGCAAAGGCTCATTTATGATAGAGCCTTTTTATTGACATTAGAGGGCGGCGGGATGAAACCTTCTCGTTCGCCTGCACCAACATCAAAGGTAGACTCTCTCTCTCTTCTATACGATAGGCTAGTCCCATATGTTAACTAGCGAAACTCTTGACATACGGATTACCATGTGTCGAAGGAATGGATTCATGAGTTGTTTAAGAAATCCTTTCAAGATTTTCGCCGGGAAGCGTAGCGAAATCCTGATGACATTACAGCAAAAATTGGATTTGGTTGAAACTCTGAGCAGAAGCTCATAACGGAATCAATCCCAACTTCCCTTCCCAAATGATTATCCATCGAAATTATCAGACAATGTTGTAAAACCCTTTGATAACATATAACAAAAACACATTTAAGCAAAGAAATGACAATCTTCACAACTAAAGCCCTTGTTTGAGCCCCATTCTTTGAAAAAAATGCATTATTAAACAGTATTTTGACATCATTTCAACTACACATTCTTCAATAAAATAGTATTACACGCAAATCCAAAACTTTTCTAAATTTTTAACCACACATTTCACATCAATAATCTATTCAAAAATGCATTTTTATGACAAAAATGGGGCTCAAACGGCATAATAACGAAAAGACTTAAATCTTTATCAATCTACCTGCCATGCAATGCGGTCAATATTGAGCGTGAGAAGAAGTGTTTTTGCCCCTATACGAGCAGATGAAAGGGCAGCTTCACAGCCTGCATGCCCCCCTCCGACAACAATCACATCATATCTCTCATTTGAAGCGTCACTGTGCTTATCCCACTCTGCAGAGTATTTATAATCAAGAAATAGGATTTCACAATATGTTTATAAAATTCAGCTTATAGAAGCTCTCCAGAGATGAGAAAACATATTCAATTCTAGTTATTTCTGGGAACGATAAAATGTATATATCGCTACTCCTTTTTTCGATTTATAAGATCAAAGTAAGAAAAAGTGAGAGCATTGATATTTGTTTGCTCCCCGGGTCATAAATGTAAAATTACAATTGAATATAGAGTTTTAGTTCTGCATAATTCTAGAGACAAATTTCAGAATCTAAAAAGAGGTGTAGTTTATTATCTCGAAGAATAGATATAAAATATGTAAATAAATAATTTTGCATTCCAACTTTTTAAAGTTTTCAGAGCTACAAGTCATCCCTTTTATTCAGTTTTACTAATTATCAGCCAAAATTCAAAAATTTAACTTTGGGACTGCCTTTTTATGTATATATAAGCATAAAATAAGATTCCAAATTCCCTCGCGTTATTAAAAAATAAATAAAAATGCATAGAGCTTTTGTGTTGATGGAATGGCAATGCCACTAGAACTAAAGGATAAAAATCGCACCTTGTGAGGTGGTGGAGGCAGAGATACTAAAGCGACGACGTGGTGCTGCGTGAGAGGAGACGAAGAAACCCCTGCGACCGTGAAAGCGCAGGCTCTGGCGACAATTGAGTAACCGAGGCCGTTGCTTGGCAGAAGAAAGAGGGGAAAACAGAGAAGAATGAACGGAAAATTGGGAGACGATTCGCGTAAGATGAAGTGATAAAGTAGTCACCATTTTTGCAGAGATATGAGAACACGGTGAATTTTCAGACAATCAGTAAAAGCCATAGCAGCAGTAGCCGTGCCATTGTGCCATGGCAGGATAGAGAGAATTGTGGAGGCGGCACTAGCCAAGGGTAGAATCAAGAAATAAATTAAATAATTAATAATTTGTAGGAACCTGGCCTCCAAGTGGATCGAATATGGATAGAATTTATCTATGTTCGATTTGATTCAATAAATTCTTAGATCTGATTCAATTATTCAACGAATATTTAATTATTAAATTTATATTGATTTGCTATATTATCAGATATTAAATCTCATAATTCGATTCGAAATATTTTATACGTTCTTTTTTTTTTAAATGACAAAATTTTTAATCTGAATACAAAATTTATTAGGGTCATTTACAGAAAAAAAAAAGTCCAATTTTACATATATCAATTCAAAAATGTCAACTTTTGATAATCCTTACAAAAATGGCCAAATTTAATACCAAATTCTCTATTTTACCCTTATGAGAGAATAAATAATTTCGTATTGCACACGTCAAATCACAATTAATACTAGACACGAAAATGTCGAGAACAACATTTAAAGTGTAGATAAATGTCATGTTTGAAATGAAATGTCATTCTAAACATTTAATATGTCGAGAACAACGTTTGAAATGTCGAGAACATTTAATATTTTGATTTGACATATGTACTTTTGAATTATAAACGGATTCAAATATCGAGAACGACATTTGAAATGTCGATAACATCATTTTAATGTAACTTTTCATGAAAGTTACTTAAGGGTACTCTCGTTCAAATAATTGCAAAAATGGATATTGAAAATTTTTGGACATTTTTGCAAATGACTATGTTAAAATGGACATTTTTTATAATTTCCTCAAATTTATATTATAATAAATATTAATTTTATATTAAAATTTGATAGATTTGAGATTCTGCATTAAAGTCATATAGTATAATACAAGTTTCAAAATTAAAAAAAATATGTGTGTACCAAATTATGCGATAATATAAAAAATATATTATATTATTATAACAAATCAATCAGGTTGACTTATATCCATATTTACTCCATTTAGTTTACGGATTATCAGATTTAGATTCAAATATGGATCTTGATCAATTTACCGATTTGAGGTCCTAAATCAATCTCCATTGGTTAATTCATCGAATTCGAATCAAAATCCAATACACCGATAGCCCTAAACATAGAACAAAATTTCTACTCAATTTGAACCAGGGTAAATTTCAACACTTTGATTTTGTTGAAATTTAGATTTTTTGTAAGTTCTGCTAAAAGTTAATGATAGTTGTGATTCAAAAGTCAGTAATAATTATAAATCGAATAAAATATATGGTTAAAAATGAATTTGAGAGAAAATAAATTTTAAAAAATGAGGGTCAAATAGAAGTTTCATGAGTCTAACACAATGCCCGTGTTACCAACCTACCATTAGACGCGTTCACGTCTCTCGCCTTTTATAAAATATATATTCAAATGTTAAATAATCATTTAACACTTACATGACGTCGTGGATGCATCGAAGCAAATGGATAAGTATCATGAAACTGAGAAATTTTTCTTTGTTCAAAATTCTAGGTGAAAGTTGAAATCATTATTTGATTGTTGACATTATGTAGCTACTTAATGTTCAAATAACCATTTAAGCATAATACACAACATGTGGGAGCAAAACTTTTACCCAAAGGGCGCCCGCTATTCACATCCACAATTTTTTATATATACATTCACTTAAAATAAAATAAAAATATAAAAAAAATATTTAAATTATATTTTTAACCTTGTGTAAATTTATTTAAATGGACAAATATAAAATTAAATAAAAGTATCACTCTAAATTCATCCACTAACATCTATTTTCATTAACTTATTTTGAAATTTTTTTATATTTATCATTCACAAATTACTCAATTAAATTTACAACCATAGTTAATTATGAAAGCATTCCACAACTTCTTTCATAAAAACATTAAAATTTCCGGCCCCAACACAATATATATAGCTTGATCTACTGGAACTTTTCAATTGCATCTTTAATATTTTTTCTATTCTTTTTAATTAATAAACAATTCAAGTGAAAATCAAGAGATCTTTGATCTTTGTTTAATAATTAATTATCTTACTTTAATTATTAATTATATCTTATACAGTAATTAATTATGTCATTGCCTCTGAATTATTGTTTTTCTGACTGTATGTGTTGTGTTCTTGATGATGATTACTGTCCACGCATGTATCTCGCTGCATAGTTTATTTGGATGAGTTCAAAAGCTGCTTATAACTAATCTGATTATTTGCTTTTATTTTCTCCAGTAGAACTAGTGTTGCTCACAACGAATTCTTAAACCTCGACTAAGCATACAGATTCAAAATTAATCTTTGCATTTATATACAAATTGGAAACATCTCTCTCTTCAGCTTGTTCCTTCAGTAAGATTATTAGTTTCGGTCCAAGACTAATTCTTCTATATCTAGTTTAATCTTCTTCAACACTAACATGGGCTTCTTCGGCTTCACTTTTGTTCCAGTTAGCTCATGGTATCCAACTCAGTTAGCTCATGGTATCCAACTGAAAACGTGTAACTTTCCTACAAAAAACCCTCTAAATTCTCAATAAAGAAAATGAAATCTAGTTAATAGAAAAAGCAACCCGTTAAAGGGATTGCAGTGAAGTCACAAAAAACCTAAGATTGGAGGTAGATAATGCCGATTTGAAGGTTCTGGAGGCTGTTTTGAAAAGAGGGTTGTGCTTCAACCGTGCCTTCTATCAGTTTTGCTGTTAACAAAAAGTTCTCTGCCAAAGTCTAAAAATCCTGAAATACAGCAATGTGATGTGATCCTTTTGTTTCTTTATAGCCATCTTTTATACTTGTTAATTTCTATATGTATGCACTATTTTCTCATGCATCAATATCGCTGCTCGTTTGCATATATTTATGGTTGTAATTATGCTTGTAATTTTGACACTATGCTTTTCATGTAGGATACATCAACATACAACTCTAATATCCAAAACGAATTATTTATTGATTACACAAATATATTTACTACAAATATGATAAGTAATTATATTCTTATTTTTAATATTATCATATATTTATATCCAAATATTTGATGATATAGAGATGTTTACACGTAAAGAAGCCTTGGTTGATTGGGTTAAGCCAACTAGTAAGAGACATAACATGACTATTGTGAAGAAAAAATTTGACTTAGGTGAAGTTGGGAGAAAATCAAGAATTGATTTCGCACGTGAAAGATATGGTTCATATAGGGTTAAGAATACCAACAACGAAAATAAAAAAAGGGAAGAGACATAGAAGTACCGTAATAAAAAAGTGTGGATGTTCGTTCGTTTTGAATCGAAAAGAAATTGATAAATGGTGATTATTGTGTATTGAAAGTGAAATATGGGAGGCATAATCATGACATTACACATAACCTTGAAGGACATTCATACGCCGAAAGACTAAGTGAGGAAGAGACTTCAATTTTGATAGACATATCAAATAATCACGTGAGATTGAAGAAAATCTTATACACATTGAAACAAAATGATGACTCTAATGTCAGCACATTGATACACGTTTACAATGCACGTTAGAAGTTTAGGCTCAAAGAACAAGCTGGAATGACACAAATGCAACAACTAATGAATAAGCTTGTTGAGAACAAGTACATAAGAGTGGCACCGGAGAACAAGTACATAGAGTGGCATCGAACCTCTAAGGAGACAAATATAGTTAGAGATTTGTTCTGGGCACATCCATATTTAGTAGATTTGTTGCAGGCTTTTCCTTGTGTGATAATTATGGATTGCACATATAAGATAAATAGGTATCATCTATCGTTGTTGGAGTAGTAGGTGTCTCTTCTACTAATTTGACATTTTTGATTGCTTTGGCATACTTGTAAAAAGAACGTGAGGAAAATCACACATGGGTTTTGGAGAGATTGAAGAGTCTAAACGATGATATAATAATACCTGGTGTTATTGTTATTGATAGAAAGCTAGCTCTAATGAAGGCCATTGAAAAAATATTTCCAGCATCGACTAATATTTTATGGAGATGGCATATTTCAAAGAATGAGCTGGCAAAAACAAAAACAAAAAATACATTTCGAAGACGAGGACCAATGGGATGCCTTTATTCATATGTGGAATTTATTAGTACTATCATCATCTATAGCTAAGTACAAGCAAGATTTAAATCTTTTGGAATCTAATTTCCAACAGTTTCCTCGAGCAATCAATTATGTCATGAACCCATGGCTTCTTCAATATAAAGAGAAATTTGTGGCAGTTTGGACAAATCTACATATGCACCTTGGAAACACGATAACTAACAGGTAAATGTACTTATATTATTATTTAAATTAGTTAGACAAAGATGCATGAATTTTATTTATAGTTGTACTAATTCATAATATTATGACTATACTCTTATTTTATTTATGTTGTAGGGCTGAATCTACACATGCGAAACTTAAGAAGCATTTAGGGTCTTCTCAAGGCAATTTTGACAAATCATGGACAATAATTCATGCATTATTGAAGCTACAACTTACAAATATTAAAGCTTCCTTTGAAAAGAGCTTAGGTACTGTCTTACCTAATTCCAATCCTACCCTATTTAAAAAGTTTAGAGGATTTATATCAAGAATTGTAATGAATTTGATACTTCTAGAGTCCAAGCTAGTTGATGACATAGGGATCGATAAGGTAGCTTGTATATGTGTTATCAATAAAACCATGGATTACCGTGTACCCACGAGATTTCGGAGTACAAGATAGAATCGTAACCCATCCCTTTATCAAGAGTACACTCTCATTGAAAGGAACCTGATCTAGTTCCTCTTGACAAAAGTAACAAATCTGAAATTAATTGTACATCGTTTTTTGAGATTATGCATTAACGTCCAAATGTGAAGGCAAGAATCGAACAAAAATTGAAATAGATTGCTAGTTCGAGTTCTACATCATTAATTGAGCCACAAATCAAAACAAAGAGAAAAGGTCGTCCTTCTTCAAAGACAGATATACCCACTCGTCGTGACCCATCATATTTTGAGTTGGTGATATCTGGACAAGACAATATATTACAACAATTGAATAGTTCCATTACACCTTTTTAAGTCAGTCTACACTATCAAACCAACCTCCAATTCGACAAAAACAAAAGGTGTATAGAGCTCGTGGATCAAAGTCTATGGCTTATTTGGATTCATTTCCTATTCGTTTGAAACCTCACATAGTTGGTGTGAATGATGTAGCCTCAGATGGTAATTGTGGTTTTCGAGCTATGGCTGATATTATAGGTACATGTGAAGAAAATTAGCCTTTGATCAGAAAATACCTAATAAAAGAGCTTGAATCTCATTTGGATGATTACTCTAGACTTTATAGCAATGTTGATATGATCCATGTATAGATTCATTCACTTTCTTATTTTGATGGTTCCACTAGTCGTGAGCATTGAATGACCATGCCAACTACGGGTCATGTTATTGTTTCAAGGTTCTTCTTGTTCACTTGAGCCAATAAAAATTTCTTACATTTCTTCCACTTTTGGATGAACCACTTACAATCGCATCTCATAGGATTGTTGCAACTGGATTTGTCAATGACTGTAATTTTGTTTCGGTAAATATCAATTAACTTAATTACATTTGATTTTGGCTAAACGATATTTTTACTTACATTTTTTCGTGTAACTTTGTGCAAGTAAATTGGCATACTAGTGGACCAATGCCACCTATTGCTTGTAATTGGTACAATTATCATCATCCATGTGCATAGGGCTGGGCTACACCATATCATGCTAGAACGCAAGTTTTTAGGTCTCTAGTAGAAAAAGATGTAGCTATGTCGAGGTAATTGACTTGGATAAATCATAAGTTGTGAAAGATGTAATGTTAACACTACTACTACTACTACTACTACTACTACTATTATTATTATTATTATTATTATTGATTTTGAGCTTATATTTCTATGTAAATTATTGTCGTGATGATGCCCAACACTTATGATTTTGGAACAAATTCCTAACATATCCACTTTAGACCTATGACATGGTTAGCCTCAATTAAAGTATACGAACTTTATCATTTATTTCAAATTATATGTAAATTTTATTTATTTCAAGATTATACATAACCTTAGAAAGTTGATTTTTATCGAGTGCAAAAATGAATATTTGTCAATCAAATATAACGGACCAATTCATGTGGCAAATAAAACACCTATGGGACTTTTAATTTTACTTTTCAATATAATGTTTTGTCTATATAATAAATTATTGAATTATAAGAAAGTTGATGTTATATGTATTGGGGATGAATATAGTGATTTTTTAAAATTTTGAAATTATATTAGGGACGTATTTAGAGTGTGATGAATATATAAAATCTATGTAGATATATACTCTTAAAATGAAAAAATTTAATATGGACAATATTGGAATATGATGTGGATGACAATAGTAATTTTTTAAATTTTTAATATTTTAATAAAAATGAATATATAAAAGCTGTAGATGTAAATAGCCGTTTTCTACCAGAATGATGACCTAAGTTCAAGTCTCTTTTTGGGGAAGGGTGAAATCCTTTTATCCTGTTTTCAAAACAAAAATTACAATAGATTAAAAATTTTCAAATAATTATTTTTTCGTTAGTTGGAAACATCAGTTCCACGGTTTCAAAGTATTGGAGCTGAAAGGTAGAGAGAAACAACAATCATTGTATAATTCAGTGACCGAAAATATGATGGACTTGCTTTTGTGCACGTTCTTCATTTCTTTTATCTTGTGAGCCCTCTAAGGATTCTCAAATCTTCCACCAAGTGCGCTTATAGTTCACCAACACATGCAAGCTAGTATATATATTGATCACAAGTCCAATTGATCCTTGCTAAGACTTTCCAATATACATTCCATCTATCACCTGTCCCAAAATCGTAGATGGCTCCTGATACAATGTCTTGAATTCTTGATTATTAAGGAAACGACCAAAATATCTTAAAAGTGAAATGAAGTTTCCACAATCGTTTCTTGTAAAAGTCTAGTAAATAATCGTTAATTAATGTCAAATATAAAGATGTAATAATTCCATATAAAGCATATACGTCAAATATCTTTATATAACAATCATATTTTGTACAATTATCATCGATCGTATAAACATATAAATAAAATAAGCATCTTGATCATATATGTCGAATAAACATATTCCACTTGCGTCATTAATTATAAATGTCAAATAAGCATATGACTTTCATCTAAGGTAGTTGAGATTTGCTCTAACTTGTGATAATTGAACCATGTTTTAACTTATAACCGTAAAGGACTAAAGGGCATCCATAAGAAAAAATAGGTCATTATATGACATTTAAAAACAGAGGTTGGAACTTGGAGCAAGCGCTGGTATATATATATTTTTGTAAACATCCGTTTAAATTATGGCCTGTCAAGGAAAAAAAATTCACAATAAATTGCACTTTAGCTGTGGGGAAAAAAAAAAAAATAAAATTGTTGACCAGTCTCAACACGACCAACTGCATTCATTTAGCCTCTGTTCAGTATCATTTATTTTTCATACTCACTTTCAATTATATATTTATACAGTAAAAATATTATAAACATAAATCCAAAAATTTTCCCTACTTTTAACTGAACATTCTCTAAAAAATATTATTCAAAACTTTCACGTCATTTGGTACATGTTTTCACCACATTTTAGCCCCCGTTTGGCCCCATACTCATTCTCTCTCTTATTTTTAATCACACAATCTTCCATATAATACTATTATACGCAATCAAAAAAATTTCATTCTTTTTCAACCACTAAATTTTCAAAAAAATCACTATTCCCACCATTAAAATTTGGAAAGAATAGGGGCGATAGGGGAGCTTGATAAGGTTTTTGCCCATTTAAAGAGTAAGTGAACCCATATACAGCCTTTTTCTTTTTCTTTTCTTTTTTTTTAACTCAACAGCATGAAAATTCCTCGAAATGCCCCCTTATCTTTTGATATAAATGTGAAAGAGTATAATGATAATTCCGCTTCAGATGGACAATGTATGCATCTGCATCTTTATCATGTAACGGTTGGACTTTTGAAAATGAAAAACAAAATGACACACACAGGCTAATGTTTTGAATATTTTAAGAATGTCAAACATGGGCTTAATTTGCAATAACGATCCAAAATGCCATGCTGGGAACAAACATTTGTCTTTGTTGTATATAATCCAACAGGAGGAACTGCAGCTATTTATCAAGCAGTACTAAATAATGATTTAGATTAAAAAAAAACATGCGAAATCCGAATCTGGCGGGCTCACACGCTGTGAGATTTGTCGATTGCCTCGTACATGAAAATGTCGAGCGCATCATTCTACCGTCAAAGGGTAAGATAATAAAAGAATTAATAAATAAGAATCAGTAAATACTAAATACTGCACCATGCAATATGATACCTAATTAAACAGCAATCTATGCTGATTGATCCACCACTTAGTTTTCTTTCTTCTTGCCTTTAGATTTTACATCTGGGATGCATGATGACCAGAAAAGGGGAAAAAGTGTGCACACAGCCTGTATCAAAAGGCCACGTGGCAAGCCAGAGAAGTCGTCTCCAGTCACTCCAACATACGATGCGAGAGCCACCCCTAAGTAACCACTCACTATAAAAGCAAGAGCAATAGCAGACATTACAAATGCCATGACTGAGCCTTCACACCCAGGTGGGCAAAGCTGCGCCATCAAAACATTGAAAGGTAGAATCTTGAAGAAGTATAAAACCTCCAGAAATCCCGAGAAAACCACGACATAGAGCGAGTCAGGGATGCCCATACTCCTGTACACACCATTCACAAACAAAACATCTGATATTATGAAAATAGCCATAGAGATCTGAACAGCTGCGATTAATTTTCTGGGTGGAACCGATTTGAGGTGGCGATTATATACAACACCCCAGAGCAGCATAGCTGCTTGCCCAAACACCTTCGATATCCCCAGAAGTGACGACTCAATCTTCAAATGTTGGGTTTGATAGTAAAACATTGTCCCAGTAAGGGCTGGGATTACGGCATAGGACATAGCAAACCAGATTATAGAGTAATAGATCGTTGGCTTCTTTAAAGCAACCAAGAGCTCGGATAATTGCTTTCTAAAACCTACTTGGGACGGGCTTTTGGGAAGGTCTAAAGAGCTTTCACGAATAAATAGTGTTATTGAGAACTGTAAAGAAAGAAGAATGCCATACATGAGGAACATCAGTTGCGTTGAGAATTTATCAATAGCAATTCCACCAATTAGATTTCCCATAACTCCACCAACAGACGAGGCCATCCAAACGAACGACTGAAGTTCACCTGAGGAAGATGGTTTCGAGTTCTTGGACAAGGCCAGCTGTTTCCCAGTCTCGGCAACAATGGCATCATTGGCAACTTCGACTATTGAAGCACCCAGATTCCCAAGCAGAAGGTAAAAAGTGATTGACAGAAATGAGATGTCTGATTTGGCAAAAAGTGCAATAGTTACCCATGACACTGCTTGTAAAAATGCTGCAGCAAGAAACAGATTTGTCGATCAACAAAACAAAGATCCAATATGCAAATAATTCAGCAAAGCGACGAAATGTCTGATATCACTACTACTTTTCAGATGTTAAAGATTATCGATTATACCAGGACGACAATCTAATCCTAAGTAGAATTTAAAGGCGATTTATCTCACACTGAGACGTGATGTACTCCATGCTTGACAGTCTGAATTTTCATTGGCAATAAAACAAATTTGAATGGTTTTGCAATTGCAATCACATTAAGCCAGTGATACTATAATATCTCATTATTTGATTGTTTCGTCCTGTGATAGAATGGCACTCTTGTAAGGTGTACTTCATTTCCTAGAAGTGAAAGTGTAGAGACTGCCATTACAGAAAACAAAATGGATTACAACAAAACTCAAAGAAGAATTGAACTTTCTTCATGTCACAAATATTATAATGGACTATAAAGTGCTTCAGGGTTCATGTGATAATATGAACAGCCATGTACAGAAACAAGAAGGGCTGTATACTTCTGAAAAAGTCCTCAGCTATAGGTTATTAAAGATACTAAACAGCCTAAAAATTTGGACATTCAAGGGTAAGGAATTGCAAATAAATTAAACTTAATTATTCAAATTAAGGAATTATAAATGACTACTTAATCAATTAAGAAATAAGTAGATCAGACGAGGAGAATACCTCCTAGGGCGATGTAAGGGACACGGTGTTGGCCAAAGATGTAGAAGGAATCAGAGAGGATGCCGTAAAAAGGCTTAGCAACCATGGGCAGATTGGCGGAGTTCTGCAGGATCTGGAGAGTGGAGGGGTCCACTCTCATCCCATCCTTGAGGAAAAAGTTGACGCCCATCCATGGAAAGCACCTTAACCCCTGCACCCAGAAACCTATTCCAAGCAACAACTTCCGACTTCTCTCAGATTCATTACCATTTCTGACTGACACCATTTCAGATTTCCAAACTTCTACGACAATTTATTTGGCCGATATTGGAAATATTGATGTCTATATTTATTGATATTGCAGCAGCGGGGCTATAGTCAATCACTTTCATATTGTAATAGTCATTAGCAGCTAGTACATGAAGAAATAAGCGCGGGAGCCCAAGATGCTCAACTACAAAGATCAATTTCCAGGGGCAAGAAACAATTAAATGAATTAGTTGAAGGAAATGATTGCAATCTCATTCAAATACAAAACAGCACAATTTTTAATACATTGAAGTAAAACAATGCCACATTCCCAAGATTAAAGTGGGCGTGGTCAAGTATGGTCCAGCTCTCCGATTCCCATTAGGAAATGTGCAAATGGAACCAATGGCTCCACATAAAAATCCGGATCCAGACCACTCAGTTCCGATCCTGTCAAATTATGAACAAGACTTTAATCCTTCAATTTTATTCCAACATGTTAAAAACAGAAGGTACTGAACAAATGAGTAATGAACTATGGAAATATTTCTTCTAGTCCAAAGATCAAACAAGTTCAGAGGATGTCTTGACTTTTTAAAATAAAGAATGAAGAAAAGCTAACCAAGAATGTCAAGAATTTTGATGAAACGTGAAAGCCTAATCATTAGCTCAATTGGAAATTTAAAGCACAACAATAATAAAAAACGATTTTGCTTCACATATCTAAATGGAAAGGCAATTAAAATAAACAATAAACTTCATTTATCCAACAAAATTCATTACAGTCTATCTCAGTTCCTCATCCAGCCAATTTAAATACACCAATGACTACACTTCATAATCAAGCAAATTTATTATACCATACAGAAGGCATTAACCAAATATTCAAGTTACATTAAAAAATTCAAATATCAGGAGGTTTATGATACTAACTGAAAATTCAAATAAAAATTACACTAAAAGGGATATTCAAATATCACCAACCAGTGTTAACTGGATATTAAGTAATTAACTATTTACTCAACAACTAATGAGCATTAACCAAATTAACCAATAAACATAATGCAAGTGTTAAGCTAGAAACTGAAAGGAAATGGCAGTCTACTTCAAACTTTCAAGCCCAAAACTGAAAGGAAGCAGTGTCAACTGTGTTAACTATAAAAATCACGAAAAGAAATATATTTTTCCACAAAAAAAGGAAATTTGTCCATAAATAGACAAAACTCTAAATATTTACCTGATTGAATCAAAATAATGTGGAAGAAGTGAACACAGTCTTGGATGGATTTGGATAGAAATAGAAATACAAATATAATGTCTAGTTCATAGGACAAAGAAGAATATACAGTATTTTGTAATAAATAGTGGTTGGCTCCGAACTAGGGTGTGATTTGGGGAATCATGAGCAGGAGAAATGAAAACTTTTAAGGCACGAAAAATGGTCAACCAGTCTGCAAGGAAGAAGGTGGTGAAGGCAAAGTGAGGATTTTTGAAATTCTGATTTTAGGTGTAATTCAACATTCTGCGTGCATTGGTGCAATACACAAGTAAAAACAAAACGTAAAAAGAAAGTAAGTTTCTCTAAAACCAAACTTCAGTTGGAAAATAATGACTTTAGATAGTGTCTATGCTGCATTATGCTTGTCTAACACGTCCATTATTAAAATGAAAGAAAGCTTGACTGTATATAACCCCCCTTTTGCTGAATAAATGGATAAACAACTAAAATAGCAGGGTTGCAATTCATTTTCAGTAGTAAATCAGCTTAGATTAGATATACCTATCATTCTGTTTAGCTGAAAAGAATTCACAGCAAGGACTCTCTTAACAATTGGGCATTCTAATAGCGAACAATAAAACAAGAAAGTGCAAGAGAGAGAGAGAGAGAAGGCCTGAACTAGATATAGTATTTATCAAATTCCAATTTCCATAAAAATGCTTCAACTTCTCCTCGGCAAGGGTTTGCTCGATTAAGCAGGTTACATCAATGATTGCATCCTTCCATTAAATTTTGAAACTTCTTCCAGGCTTTCAGTATTCTTCCTACATGGAAACCTATCGATCTCTTTCAAATAACCAAAACATCTTAACCAATTCTCCCTTAATTTGTATAAATATAAGAAGAAGATGGATGGTTGCTAGAACTGATGATTCACATTTGGAAGCAGCCAGGGCATTCGGAAGCCACAGATGCAATCATGCAAAACCGATTAGAGATAGAGATGAGGACCGAACATCCGCAAAGGCGTGTCCAAGAGAGAACATTGAGAAGTGAGGATTGGTTAGAGACCTACACGCTTTTTTCCAAATGATGTTTAATTTTCATTACACTAAAAACACATTTCATCATATACTCCATAATTATTAATTAGAGACTGCTCTAATCCAGGAGGCAACCCAATTTCCGAAATTTCATTGAATTCAATTCAAAAAATATAAATTTACAAATGGTTTTTGCACAATAATAACAACAATTATCGAAACATAAATCTAAGTTATCAATTAACTAGCACTACTCATCAAAGCATAAAAAACACTCGAATCGCATACCCTAAATGGAAAGCACAAAATATAAGTCACAACAAAAATTAGGACATAAAAAGTATTTATTAGGGAAAAAAACACACGCATGAATATTGTACCTTTTAATACAGAAAACCCTCCTCTATACTTCAAGAAAATATGGTCTCTCCAGAAATGCTCAAAATCGTCTAGTGTCTTCCTGAACAATAAGAAGAAACTGTACTGACATATAGTAAAGCAAATTAACGGCGGTGATACACTTGGAGGAGTGTATATTCGCGGCATTATTTATTTATTTATGGTCAGATTAGAATTTGCGAAAAAAAGGCCAAATTTAAGATCTCGAGGCCGAAAGTTCCCGGACAAGAAACGTGGCACTCTATGACGTTGCGAAAACCATAAGGTCTTTCTTTCTTTTTGTTTTCCACGTCATTCTGTCAACCGACAATCCTCGTGATGAACCAAATATCATAAATGAGCTGTGTTATTTGTGCGAAGCTTGCTACACTTTCCGATCTTCATTTCACAGAAGGCTTCTGACAGTGAACATGGTCAACATTGTCTTTGAAATTTTTTATTATATTGGTCCGGCATGGGACCCACTTTCCTTGTGATTGTTCTGTGAACTCAGTGTGAGAAGCCCCGGTACGTATAGATATATTCTATTTGTACAGCATGATTGATGGGCTCACGAGTAATACAATAATTATGGGCCCTCCTCTCTTGTGGGTATGTCATCTGGCACCCCGGATGTAATATTGATTATAAATATACCAAAGGTCTGCTGAGAATAAGGTGCTTGCGACTTCGATGGAAGAAAATTGGGCGACTGATGAATGGAAAACCAACAAACTGGACCAAGTTTATTCCATCGGGAATTAAGGCCTCTATGCTAGCTTTCTTTACCATTTTACATATTGGACACGAATTAAGAAAAACTTCACAATCTTTGCAAGAGCAGAGATGCCTGCAGGGCAGTATAATTACGCACGAATTCCGAATTTTACAGCTTCTGCAAATCATTTGTTCTTCTTCACCATAGTTGTGATCAATCACATTACAGAACGATTCTGCATCTCCAATTTCATTGGCTGATAAACAGGCACTTTCTCTGATTTGTTGGATTGCGTTGTTCAATGATCGGATCGCTGCTTCGTTTTCTTTAGCCATCCCATGCCACCTCTGATTCTCAATCTCCATTTTTCTCAAGAAATCTTCAAGCTCTATTTTTCTATTTACGGCCTTCGATATTTCTTCATCCTTTTGTTTGAGTAAAAGCTGAATCTTGGGTTCATATTTCTGGATAAATAAAGCGATTTGTTGCTTTCTTTGTTGCTGCAAAGCCAGTCTCAACTGCTCATTCTGTTGCAACAAAAATCAATACATAAAAATCCCATACAACAAAAACAAAATGATTAAAATACAACTGATTTTGTTTCTTTCTAACCTGTAAACAGATGAACCGATCAGTCTCAACTCTCTGTTTCTCAATCTGGGAGCCAAGACTATGAGAAAAATCCATTGTTTGATGATGGTTGATGTCGTTTCTTGGAACCAAAAAATTCTGATCAAACTGTTGTTGAGGGTCGGAATATAACTGATTCAACCCACAAGTATTGTCCATCGCCAAATCTTGAGGTCCCCCGAAAGGATACGCAAGATTTTTCAAATAGCACTGCACTTGAGTAGCCATCGAATACAGATTTATATTTGTAAAAATTGTAACCACCGGAAGAAACACGAATTGTACCGAAAAGTAACACTATTCCTGTGGTCCTTCTTCTTACATTTATCCTAACAAAAAATTCAACCCAAACAAAGTGGGGTTCGGTTGAAAACGAGAACTTGATTTCTTCTTGAAAGCTGGAGATTTGAAAATTGGATTTTGGTTTGGAGTAAAGTGTATTTATATTGGAATTGATAATTCTCGTGCAATTAAAAGTAAACTGCAAAACTGAAAAGGAAAATAAAGAGGTGGGGCCTGGCCTAGGATTCTTGATTTTCTCTATAGTTGTGATGCATTAAAGAGAGATGTATGGGGAGAGGTAAGCGAAAGGACCTACACATGCAGATTTTGTGACTGAGTACAATTCAGAAACGTTGTTAAATGAGAAAATTGAATACCAAGTGAGGGTGTCATTTTCTTGATTTATGACTTTAGATGGAGAGAGAAAAAAGGGAGTTATAAATTGTGTGGAAATGCTGTGAAGGAAGGGGACACCCACCGCATTCATCATGCTAAATTTATTATATCTTAAAAAAATTTTAAAATATTGCATTGTTGGTCTTCAATATATTTTCTAAGAGCAAATTGGTTCCAAACGCTACTCTAAGACCGAGTTAGTGTCCAACATTTAAAAAGGAGTAAGCTTATTTCGACCTTTTTATTCTCATCATGCAATTGACCATGAAAATTATATATACTGAACTTTATGAAGCTAAGTATCGCTTTTGAACTTGAATTGATTATGTTTCCATAAGGGGCGATACAAAAATTTATATAAAATTGGTCTTTAGCTCTTTGGAATAACAAGCTATTCTGACGAAATACATTGCATGTCTGGTTCGATTCCTCGTCATAGCTTGCTTCCCTCGAATACTACTTATCTTGATAGCTTTTTGCCATCAAGCACGGCAAACATTAATTGAGCATCCTTGTGTCTTCACCAATTATGTCATAAACTAGGCATAGTATCTCATTCGTGACAATCTCATCCTAAGTGTAGAGTTAAGTTTGATCGTGTTAGTTCTTCAAAAAACTTTGCTTATAGGTAATTTCGTTCCGAAGAATGTTCCTTTTGTATTCACCTCTTATCAATCTGCTTTTAAACGAATGCATGCAACAACATTGTTGCTTTGAGAGACACTGAGCGCCACAAACCTAAAAATATATTGGGGATTAATTTGCTCACTTTTAGAAATTGAAGATCAACTTTCTAAAAGTAAAATAAGTCGAGTAAAACTCACTATTCTTGAAGCTTATATTAAATATTAACTCTTTAAATAAAAAGCATCTTGTATTAAAAAAATATTTGGAGGTGCTCCAAGCAAATTATCCTTTTACCCATTTGAGTGAGTTGACCTTTGAATTTCTAGAAATAAAAATAGATGCACTCGCATAGTTATCAGACTCAACTCGATCCGATCGTAGATCAGAAAAAAATCATCACGTTATCGAGTCAATTTCAGCCAGTGGATCGTTGTTAATACTTAATTTTAATTAAAAAATATTTTTTAAAACAAAAAGAAAATATATTTATATTATTCAGCTAAAACTGAATATATATATTTGACTTACTATATTTAGTAAGATAATACATGTAAAATAGTGGTTAAGTCTCTAATAACTATGCGCATAGGCCACCACTATTAGTCAAAATTTGTGCATAATATTTATTTGGTGCAAGTATGGTATTGTCAAAAGAGGAAATTAACGAACCCTACACCAATCAAAAATCCTTTTTTTTTTCCATATTATAATTAAACTTCATTTTGATTTCTAATCCCTGTTAAACATTTAATTCTCTGTCACAAAATTTGGTATTAATAAAATAAGTCAAAGAATTAAAACTAAATAAAGTAAATATTTAATGTGCACAATTCAACGTTTTTTCATAAATCAGTATTGATTATAGAAGGAAAGAGGAGGGGCCAAAAGATAAAAGAAAACAGAAGAAAATTTGATTTGTTTGAATCCATTTGTTATTTATGGATTTCAATCATGATTATTTTTGGGATAATCATTATTTTAAAATTAATAAGTGACCTTTATCTTTTTTATTAAACTATTGATTTAGGTACCAATTTTACCCGTTATTGGGTCATTTTGGGCATGTTAATTATTCACTTATAAGTAAAAATCTCGTGTTTTCTTTATGGCACTATTTGGAGAGTGGTAGGCACGTGATTGATGGATACATTAATCAAAGCTTATCAGATAAGTTTGAATCATTAATTTGAATCAATTTATGGAACATTGATTACAATATCAACCACATATCGACTCTAGAGTGGTTGTTGTAAGCTATAAATCTAGGATGAATATTGACAAAATTAATGGAGTACCAAATTCGAAATAGTTTTCTTTATATAGATTCATATAAAGTGAGATTGATCTCAGGACGTGACAATAAATGATAGGAATTCACGCAATGCTCAATTGCAAAAGTATTTGTTTTCCTTTTTACTAACTCGAAATGAATTGTTTATTTGTTTGCTTGTACGTTTCTTTTCCATCTAATTTAAAAGGTAATGTAAGTCTAATATGCTCAATTTTTTATTGAAATGATCGTTTTCTTATCGTTTAGTTGATCGTATCTATATATGACAAAAGGGACTTCCTTTTCACGAAGTGAATCATAGAACTATTTCGACCATATATGTAAACTATATTACATGTCATTTAGGGTATTAGTTATGTCTTGCATCTATCCTTTGTATAAGATTCAAGCTACACAAACACTCTAATTTTAAACGTAATTAAGGTCATGCATATAAGAGAGGATGAAATATTTAGAAAATAGTAGTTCCACAAAGTTAAATTTTTTCATTATTGTGAAAGATGTTTACAATATTAACGTCCACATCGACGATTTTTGTCAACCAATTTTCCCAAGTTCTTGCATTTTCCATATTCTTCTATTTATTATTATTATTATTTTTGAGAGATCCCAATCTCTCATTAAATTTCAAATTTGATATTCTAAATCAAGTCATTATAATTTTTTAATAAGTTAATCATGTACTAAGGTGAAGGGGCGGATGTAGAGGGAGATTGAGCCAGGCTACATTCCAATCCCATCCCCAACTCATTTCATTTTGGGAAAAAAAATTTAAAAAAATAAAATAATATATATATATATATATATATATTAGCTTGACTTGAATTATTTATTTATTTATTTATTTTTATCTATACATGGATCGCCACTGCTAAGGTCCAAGACTCCTTGTCCCACGTCTCGCTGTGCATGTACTTGTAAAATGGTCAAACTTTTCTTGGAAACGCTGTTTGGATCCATTTTATGCAGTTGAGAAATGCCTACACAGTATAACGTATGGGATCCCATGTGATGCCACCTACTGTGATCCATTAGTTCTTCCCTCTTTGGCCGGTTTTAACATAATCCATGTGAATACTTTAACCAAATATACATTCATTGGACATGTGTCTGCATAAATCTCCATAATTGACCAATAACCAGAAAAAAATATACATTATCTACGAAATAAATATAATATTGGTGCGTAAAGCCAAAGGCAACAATTTCTGGGTTTCCATCATCTATGCAAAAATACAAAACCCAACTTGTCGAATACGTTCGTTGTACTTGTACATGAAATATTGATCAATGAAATTTACATTTATCGTTAAAAAAAATCAAAAATACAAAACCCAACTTGTCTCGTACAGTGTTTGTGCAGTTTTACGATCAACCATTATATAAGACATACTTAACTATTGTATCATGGAAGGGACAAGTTGGGAGATTTTCGTTACATTAAATTTTGAAAATCAATCGAGAACTTTTATTTAGTTAAAGAGAAACAGGATGTCGTTCTTCAACATAAATTTTTATTTAATAAAATTCACCCATTTTTCATAAAAAATTAAATTTCATCACTTTACCAACTAGTATCGCTTGACCTAACAACATAATATCAAATCCACATTTGTTGATGCTTATGCATGACATTGACGTGTAGAGACAAGTGGGTGGTGTCATTTTGTCCGTCCCATGAGGAAGAGAAGACTCGAATTAAAGGTTCACAGTTTATTTGATAACATTTTTACGAGACATTTTAAACATAAGATAATCTTTATTTTAAAGATTAAACTCATAAAATCTGTTCCAAAAACGCTTTAAATTAACATTTTAATTTAGAGACTATAATTAAATGCATTAATAGTGTTTCAATTTTTAATATAGGGAAATAATAAAATAATCTAGAGAAAATCTAATTAAAATAAAAGATAGAAAAAATTAATAAATTTTTTTAAGGAATAATAAAAATTTAGTGTTAAATATAAATAGTTTGTTGCAGTATTTCAAAATTTTAACTCTCTAAATTTATAAATACTCTTCAAATGATGAAATTTGTTATTTAAAAATAAAAAATCTTTTAAAGATGCTCTAATAAATTTGTCACCGAGTTCGTGACACGAAAGTCATGTGGGAACTCAAGAGTCGGTCAATGATGCCTGCCATATAATCAAAGAATTCTTTATTCTTTTACCCATCTTTGTCTCGATTTGGGTCGGCCCGTTTGTCTAAAATGAAAAATCGTCAAACCATGTGGCTTGTGTTAGGCCTAGTGTCTTTTGGACGGTTTAGCACAATTTGCTAAAATGTGTATAGATGCATTTGATAAGATCTTTACAAGATTATCCTAATCCATCTAACACAAACTTTCAAGTTAGGACGCTTTCGTCTTTTTACTTTTTAAATATAAAACACATTTTCCTAGTTTCTAAGGTGGGTTGTTTTAATCACTCTTTGTCATTCATTACGAAAGCAAACAAATAACTTTTCCCAACCTTTTAATACTGCATTAGAAATTTCAAAAAAAAATTGACAAGTTTGAATGCACAAAAGAAACGGGCAGACGACTACAAGATTAGAATTGTTGTTATATTTTATTTTTTTATTCTTTATTTTGTCCTTGTCCGGTGCCTTGGCCAATCCTCGGGCT